TGGAGATTTGGTGGTACCCTCTGAAAGCGTCAAGGAACGACATCAACTCGCACCCCGCCGTCTCGTCCACCAGCTGATTAATGTTGGGGAGAGGGAACGGGTCCATGGGGCACGCCTTGTTCAGGTCAGTGTAATCAACACACATCCTGAATGTCGGCGGTTTCTGGGCGAGGACGACGTTGGCCAACCATGTCGGGTACTTCACCTCTTTGATGTGTCAGATTGAGAGGAGCATGGCGACCTCCCCTTTGACGAAGTCCCGCCTGTCGGCGGACAAGTAGCGCTGCTTCTGCTTGACGGGCGTGGAGGGCGGATCGACGGTCAGCCGGTGAGTAATCACCTGGCGGCTGATGCCTGGCATGTCGTCCGGGCCCCATGCGAAGACAACGGCGTATGACCGCAGGACGAGGAGGATGGCGTCTCGTTGGTCCTGAGGGAGTTGCTTCCCGATCCTGAGGACCCGCTCCGGCCGGGAGGTATCCAGAGGGATTTCCTCGACCTCCTCGGCCGGCTCCACATGTGGCCTCTCCTCGTCCTTGGCCACGGACGCCGTGATGGTGTCAATCCTCTAGCCTTCCCTCTCGGCCGGCCTCGTCAGTTTGAGGTAGCACGCCCTGGCTATTCTCTGGTTTCCTCTGGCGTAGCCGATGCCGTCATTGGTGGGGAACTTCAGACATAGGTGCTTCATGGAGATGATGGCCTCCAAGTCCTCCAGCGCTGGCCGCCCCAAGATCAGGTTGTGGGCGCTCTGGAGGTTGACCACCATGAACTCCATGTCAATCTTGGCGTGGTGGGGGCCGTCACCGACCTCAACGGGGAGGACTATCGTGCCCTCGGCGTCGATAGAGTCCCCGGTAAAGCCGGATAACGGTGTCTTGATCGGCTTCAGCAGAGCTCTATCCAGCTTCAGCTGCCTGAAGGTATCCAGGTACATCATGTTGACGGAGCTCCCCGTATCGATGTAAGTGCGGTGGATGATGGAGTCACCGATCTCACACCGGATGACGAGGGCGTCCCTGTGTGATTCCGTACCCGGAGGCAAGTCCTTGTCGGTGAAGGTGATCGCCTCCGTTCGCTGCTTCTTCGGCTGGGGGGGGGGGAACGTGGGACACCTCCCCTATGTAGAGGGATTGGGCCCATTTCTTTCTCTGAGTGGCGGAGTCCCCCAGTGTTTCCACCTACGATGAGGTGAATGTGATTCTTCTTTGGCGGGGGCTCTTCGAAGTCCTCGTCGTCGCTTAGCCTACCAATCTCCCGCTTCTTCGCAGAGGGTTCGCCCCCATGTTTGCCGGTGTTTAGCCATGTGTTTTTGCGTGGGCCACCTTTAACAAACTGGGAGAGTTCCCCCTGGCGAATAAGGCGCTCGATGGCCTTCTTCAGTGTGATGCAATCGTCGGTGTTGTGCGACGAGTTCTTGTGGAACCGGCAGTATGTACCACCCTGCTGGATGGCAAGGATCTCCTCGGCCGGCCGAGGAGCCTGCTCGATGAGGCCGTGCTTCTCGGCATAATCGAGGATGGTACCGACCAGGTGAGTGAGGGAGACTCCCGGCCGTTCCAACCTCGGCCGCCAGTGGCGATCTTTCTTACTCTGTCCACCAGAGCCGTGACGGCCCTGGGCACCCTGGCCGGCCGGGGACGGACCCGGGGCCGGCAAAGGATTTGTCCTCTTGGAGGGATGGCCCCCCTCTTTCTTGTGATTATGGAGCTCGTCGGCGTCGGCTGGAGCGCCTTGGCGTACGACCTCGGAGGGTCGGTGATAAGGCTCCTAGCGTATGGGGAGCTGCGGAGGGCTCCCTGGTACAAGGCGAGGAGGGTGCGCTCATCGGCCCCCTCGACCTCCTCGGTTTCCCTCGTCCACCGATCAATGAATGACCGGAGGGACTCCTCGTGCTGCTGCTTGACGGAGAGGAGGTGGGTGAAATACTTCTTCGCGCGCTTCCTCCCGGCAAAGTGGGTGAGGAAGCATTGGGCAAGATCCTGCCATGAGTCGATGCTCCCTTCGGGGAGCGCGTTGAACCACTCGTACGCTGGTCCCTCCAGAGTAGAGAGGAACCAACGGCAGAGGTATTCGTCGGACGCGTTCACCATCAGCATGTTATTCTGATAGCGGCTGAAGTGTTCTTGAGGGTCTGATCGGCCGTCGTAGGACTTGATGGCGTTCCCCCTGTACTTCTCCGGGATGGGGGCCGAGAGGACCCTGTTAGTGAAAGGGGTCCTGGTCCTGACCTGGATGATGGGGTCACCTCGCCCTTCGGCCAGCTCCCTCTCCAGGGCGCTAACCTTGTTCATGAGCGCGTTGAGGCCGGGGTCGTTGAAGGCGCCGGCCGTAGGGATGTTGGCCGACTGCTTGGCTTCCATCTGAGCAAGCCTCCTTTCCAGCTGGGTGATGACCTCATCCCGGGGGTCCCTGGCGGCCGCAGCGACGCCTGGCTGGTTCCTCATGCGCTCGTCGTGAGCCGCATTGATCCGGTGGCGCACGTCGTCTTCGTGCAACTTCCCCTTGCCCTTGTCCGGGCGGGGCTGGACCGCTTTCCGGGACACAGACCCCAAGCTTTCCCTCGGCGAGCCAGGACGAGGCTCACCAATCCGTCCCGTCACCCTCTCCGAAACCGGACGACGGCGCGTGTCACCTAGCCTGTTGAAGGCAGAGGCTTTTCCACGCGCTGGGGTCTGCCCGGGCCGAAGAGGGGAAGCAGGGTGGGAGTGGGACGACGTCGTGTCCTGGGCCACTACCCCCTCATCGTTTCCTATCTGGACGGCCAACGGTTGGGGCTGAGGAGGTTGAGTGACGTTCCCCCCGGTCCTTGGCAAGAGTGCGCTGAGGACGGTGGGGTTCTGAGCCAGACTGGCAATGATGACCGACAGCGCGACCTGGACCTGTGGATCTACGGACGGAGAGGCCGCGGCCATAGGCTGGGCCGGGGCGTGGTCCGTCTTCTCAGCTCGCTTTTTGTCCAGGCCGAGGCGGGCATCAGGGGCTCCGCCGTTGAGTTGGTTGCGGAGGTCCGTCGTGAGGTTGAAGGCCTCCTGGAAGAGGTCCCCTCCGCCGACCTGGTCGGCCGTGGCGTCCTCGTCGTGCTCCCTGGGCTCTTGGTCCTCGGGGATGGCCTTGCTGACGAGGTTGCGGTTTGACTTAGTTCTTCCCATGATCAGTGGTTAGCCGCGCTTGGTAGCGACGAAGGGTGCTAACTTGATTGTTCTAGCTCTCAATGAGAACACCAAATGATAGAGTATATCTAGAGAGAAGTGAGAGCTAGAGAGAGGAGTGCAATAATATGCTTCAATAGAATGAATTTGTAACCCCTATAACTACTCCCAAGGGGAGTATTTATAGAGAAAATACGGGCTGGGCTCCCAAGCCTTGGGCTTGGGAGGCCCATTTACAACTGGACCGCTACTGGGCCGAATACAAAGCCATTAATGGGATGTACAAATGAGTAAGTATAAAATCCGGTTCTGTGAAGTCTTCGTGGCCGACGGGGGCGTGGCCGACGAGGGCGCGGCCGACGAGGGCACCCGGGTTCCTTGGGCTCAGGACCATAATCTGAGTTGGCACCTTTTCGGCCGACGGGGGTCCCTTGGCCGACGAGGGCGCCACTCAGTGTCTTGTGTCTTCTGTTCTTCTGAGTATGTGGGTCCAGGGGCTCAGACCCATATACTCCATCACATCTGATCTGGTTTTTTGTTTCCATATCATGGCAAATCCAGTTCCGGTCCGGTTCGATCCGATCCGGTCCGGTTTTGAACCAGTGCACACCCCTTGCCACAACACCTATCTCCCATCTTATCCAACGCCCGATCTGCCCTTCAATTGCTCTTTGATTTACCTCCCCCTCCCGCCCTAATACAAATTCTCAAATCCTCAGGTACAATTAGGGTTGTATACGAATTGAATCGAGTCGAATGATGATATTTTGTATTTGTATTTGTTTAATTTTTTCGAACACGAATTCGAATTCAAATATGAAACGAATATTAATTTCGATTTGTATTTGTATTTGTTTAACAATACGAATAGTTAACGAATCATATACGAATATCGAATCGATTTGAGCACAAGTTAAATTTTAGTCAAATATCACTCTAAAATAACTTTTTATACTCCATATTTTTATGTTGTTAATGCATGCTATGACTTAATATGTGTTTTTTGAATTTCAATTTAATGGATCAATGCATTTTTAGATGGTACACAATATACTAAAGTGAATTAATTTTATGATTAATAAATATAAATCTATTTCAAACTTTTTTAAATAAACACTAACACACATATTAGAAATTATACTTATAATGTGTGAAATAAGTTGATAAGTGTATATATCAAAGTCAAACAACTCTAATTTTATTCTTCAAATCGAATACATAATTATTTGTATTGTATTTGAAAGACCTTTGAACCAAAAAATGATTTGTATTTGTATTTGTATTCTGATTTATTGCAAATATGCTTGGAATTTGTATGCAAAAGTGTATATATGGGTTACACTTTGAGGGTATTGCTATCTTTTAAAAGTTATGATAGTGTTATTACTACTATTATTATTAATATTGACATTAATATTACCATTATTATTAATCGAATATATTTGATTAATATTCGAATCGAATATACTGATATTCTTATTGGTATTTGATAATAACTCGAATCAAATTTAATATTCTTATTTGTATTTGAAATTTTCGAATTTGAATCGTCTTATACGAATTCGAATCGCGAATCAAGTACAAATTATTTGATTCGTTTACGGACTCAGGTACAAATCTAGACTTCTACTCCCTCCGTCCCATATTTAACTCCGGTTTTGACCGGGCACGGGTTTTAAGATAGTGAGATTTGTGTGGTGGAGAGTTATGCAGAGGAGAGAGAAATGTGTAAGAATGGTTGTGAACCACATATTCTTTACCAAAAAAGGAAAAAAGAGATAAATTTGGGACAGACCGAAAAGGAAAGTATTTCTTTTTCTTTCTCTCTCAAATTCTCTGCACTTTCACTCACAAATTTGGATTTGTATCTTTCTGTAGCTATGATTATGATGGAGGTAGGGTTTGTTTCCTTATGTTTTAGGATCAGGGGTTATAATGTTATACTCCGTATGACTTCTATAGTTCTATTTGGATGCATTTGAGGTGTGGCTAGGTTTTCTGGTGCTGTAATGGCCGACGGACATGCATCGTCGCAGCAGCCGACGAGTCCAGGCGGTGGCAGCCACGAGAGTGGGGATCATAGCCCGAGGTCAAATGTTCGGGAACAGGACAGGTTTCTTCCCATCGCCAATATCAGCCGGATAATGAAGAAGGTTCTCCCTCCAAACGGTAAAATTGCCAAGGAGGCGAAGGATACTCTTCAGGAATGCGTTTCCGAGTTCATAAGTTTCATCACCAGCGAGTATGTTCCATTCTTCCCTTGAATTATTTTCTTTCCGCAACTGTTTTAGTTTCATAATAGAATGTATATTTCTAGTTATTGGTTTCCTGCTGGATTTAGAAAAAAGGTACCCTTTGACCTTTGTGTTTTATTTGTTTATGAGCATGATGAACATATGGGTCTTTTGCTGGGTTATAGTTTCACACTTTTTCGTTTTATTTTTTAGTCTCATTATGTGAATGCTTGCATTCTTTCACATTGAAACTCTGATGAATTTGCCATGCTTGGTAGTGTAAAACTTGATTCTTTTTCATGATACACAATACATGCTTAATCACTTGTGTTTATCATGATAAAAATGGACTGTCATTCCTGATTGTAAAGGGCAAGTGATAAGTGTCAGAAGGAGAAAAGGAAAACGATTAATGGTGATGATCTGCTGTGGGCAATGGCAACTTTAGGATTTGAGGATTATATTGAACCTCTCAGGCTATACCTCTCTCGGTACAGAGGGGTAATTATGAATTTTCAATTAAACAAATCTGTGCATATTTACCCTTACCATGGACTTTAAGCTAATAGATTTTTCTTTTCACTGTTTTTTTGTTTGTAACTTCGCCCTGCTCAATCAATGGATATTGCAGATGGAGGTACACCTTGCCATGTTTGTAATTCGTATAAGGCTTGGATGTTGTTTTGTATCAGTTTTATTGGTTTCTTTTCTCTTGCTTAACTGATTTTATTTTTATTTAACTTTACTTTAGGGTGACACCAAGGGATCTGCAAAGGCTGCTGAAGGTTCTGCCCGAAGAGATGGAGTACACCCTATCTCTAATTCTCAAGTACTGTCTTATTCCCATATGTTTGCTCCTCCTTTCATTCACTTAAAGAACGGTACTTTACCCCTACGCCTTACTGCAGCTATTGCATCAAAATTCATTTACACAAGGAATAAGCTATGATAACTCTCAGGTAATCTCCTCTTCTTGTGGGGTATGCACCTAGTTTGTTGATTCAAGCAATCTAAATGATGATTTTCGTTAGTTTAATTCCCATACAGTTCATTTTGGTTTTAGCTTTCACGGTGAATCCCGCATCACTATATATAATACTCTGAATGAAGTATTAAAGATCAGCTTCATCTTTTTACTTCATCAGTAGGAAGTACAAGGGTTGGATTAATAACTTAATGACTATTGTAAAATAATAAACTACTCCGTAATATTTATTGATATGACTTTGGACTTGCTATTTTCTATATTTGACCAAGGGAACAACTCTTTACATACAGTAGCAAATGAATCACATATACCTTTTATAGCTAAAAAAGCTTCAAACTACATAAATTTAGGGCATAGAGTTTTCAAATGATTCATGGTATTCCTTTGCTTGACAGGGTCAACATATGATGGTTCCCATGCCAGGCTTGGAGTGATCAAGTGGCTTGAAGGAGGGTCTGTATTGTATCCGGTTGACTGTCCACGAGAGCCCATTTGGTTGGGGAGGTTAAACATGTATCTATATGCTTTTTTGCACGATTCATTCGTCTTTCTACTCTCATGTGCCAAAGCTCTGTGATTTGTTGAGGTTTGTAAAGTTAGTAGTGTGGACGCATTCATCTAATATATTAAACATACTTCGCATGATCGTTCATGTCCAAGCATTCTGTTTGCCTTTATTGTTCTACCCTAGCAAGTTACAACTCCATCATTATTCTATACCGGTCAAATCCAATTTCTTTTTTATATATCAATTTATACATACAAATCCTCAATATAATATTATTCATTTATTGCTTGATTATAGTTATGTGAAACTGTGAACTTTGTTACATTCTTGTTCAGTCATACTAATCTAATAAAAGTGATTAGTATGCAATCCTGCACACGTTTGTTCGAATTTTATACTCTTGACGAACTCCAGTTTACACTTTTCGGTAGACCATAGTACCTCATAAAGCAATCTTCTTTTCAATCATTTGGCTAAAGAAATACTCTATTAGGTAAAGAAATAATTACATATTAATGATTAAAATAAATGTTATTTACAAAAATGTGAGCTTGGATCGGTTCGGTTCTTATTCAAAATTAGTGGAATTGTTCTAAAATTTTGAACTAATGAAATGATTCCTATATAAAAAATTATGAATCATTATGAAAGTGAACCAATACTAAACGATTTCGTTCTTAGATTAAGTTTTTCATTATCTAAGCGAGAGAAAAGAAACTGATAAAACTGACATGTAAAATTGTAAAAATATCAAAACACAAGAATCAAATTTTTATTTGAATATTTGATCACTTCAAACATAACTAAGTGAACACTCAATAGATTTCAATTATTATTAAATAAATAAAACATAAAAGTCGTTATTATGTGGTGGCAATGAAGGTTGTTCATCATCCAAGATATTATTAAATAAATAAAACATAAAAGTCGTTATTATGTGGTAGCAATGAGAGTTGTTCATCATTGTAATAGCAAGATAGGACACCCCCTTCAAGTCTTTCAACACTTTAAAAAATACATTCAATCATGTAAGATATACAAACACCATTGCATTCTACTCATAGTATGGAATAACATAATTTATAATAAATCTAGTAGTTACAAATATCCTGAAAATAGTAAAGTACATGCAATCAACTACAAGTTATTTGAGTTATTTTATATTTGTAAATTTATGGGGAAAGGGGTCAAATAGACCCCCGGACTTACATAAAAAGGTCAAATAAGCCATTATATAGGAGGCTCTGTCTGGTCGTAGTCATTTGGGGCCGTTTCCCGGTGGAATTTTTTGATGAAATATTTTGAGCATTTTATTCATTAAGTCTAGTTTACTCATACCAAATTCACCTAATAATTCAATCGAAAAGGCATTCAAATGAATTCTTGAAGATAACTGCGCTTTTAACTTGATAGGCATTCAATTGCCTATCTGACTCTTTTCCCTAAATTTATGTGATAGAACAAAATTTGATTTCTAAAAATGAGCTTAATCTATTGAACTTCATGTGCAATATTGATTACTTTTGTTTTCGTTTTTAAATTAGAAATGTTAGCTAATCATTGATCATACTCCGTACTATTATTGTTGTGGTGGTGGTTATAGTTGATATTATTATCTCTACTGTTTTTTTTTATTTTTTTATTTTACTTTTAAATAACGGTTCCTTAACGGTTCAGTGTACATATTTTTTATATGTATCGGAAACTGAACTGTTACTAACAACTAGGAATTAAACCGTTAACAAGTAATACCTCATTTGTAAGAACCAAATCCAATCGGGTTCTTACTAGGCTTGGACTCGGTGCGGGCAACCCGGCCTGGGAACCGGCCCGGCCCGCTACTGTGCGGGTCCGGTTCCGGTTCGGGCCTAGGCTCGAGGTCTACCGGTTTCGGAACTGGTCTTAAATCTATTCCCTCCGTCCCAAATTATTTTGCAAAGTCAACATTTTTTGTTAACAAATAATAAAAGTTAATCGTCCATATCGATAATTAATTCAATTTTTAATAATTAAAATTTACATTTTGAAAAAGTACATTAAAGTTGAAAAAATCTCTTGGAAATTGTAAACAACTAATTAGAGTATAATTAAATTTGGAAATTCTAATTAAGCAAATAAGATTAAACATTTTAGGAAGGAGTAGTATCTAGACTTTCGTGTCAATCGATAGAGCAAAAGTTTGGTGCAAAACATATACTCCCTCCGTTCCTAAATAAACTTCCAACTTTCCTTTTTCGTCCGTTCCAATTAAAATTTCCACTTTTCCCTTTTTAGTGAAGAATTTGTGGTTCACAACATTTCTTACACATTTCTCTCTCTTCTGCACAACTCTCCACCACACAATACCCACTATCTTAAACTCTGTGTCAAACCTATTTTGAAGTTTTAATAAAAACTTTACTAGATAGAGCTTATATCTATGACTTTCGTGTCAATCGATATAAATTAGACTTAGCTAACTGTGGTCAATGTTAAAAATCGGGAAGGTGCCCGCGAACACTGACGGCCCCGTCTGTTTTTGTTTCCTGAATTCGCGCCGCCGTTCGCCCCCATTTCGGACGCCGAAACCCTAACTCATCAGTTAGATTCCACAACTAATCTTAACGCTCTCTTTAAGTCGAAGATAATTTAAGTCATTTCCTATTCGATCTGAGTCAGGTAATCCTTCTTCCCACCCTCTCTCTATCTTACTATTATTTATACGGAGTATTGTTTTCATAGCGCTTAAGATTTACCATTCCATTCTTCCATGGTGCTTAATGATATTTGTACATCACTTCTCTTCTGCTTATATGTGTATATGTTCTTACTATGTATGTGCTATTATCTCTGCAATGGTTAGGGTTCCTGATGTCTGCGAACTTGGAAGCTGTTCACTTGCATCCTGAGAACGTTTCAGTTTCTAGGAGTAGTGCTGATCATTTAGATGAGGAAAATGGATCTGAATCAGTCAAACCTGTGACTGATGCTGGAACTTGTGTAGAAAATTCTGGATTAAAGGGGGGTGAATATATGGTAAGTGATGGAAAATATGTGGAACATGCTACTCTTGATGTGAAAGAATGTGTGCAGGAATATAAAACAGAGTATAAGGTGAATGATTTAGTATGGGGAAAGGTGAGTGGTCATCCATGGTGGCCGGGGCAGATATTTGAACCTTCCGCCGCATCTCGGAAAGCGAAGAAGCATTGCAAGATCGACAACTACCTAATAGCCTATTTTGGGGACCATACATTTGCATGGAACGATGCTTCCCGTATAAAACCTTTTAGGATCCACTTTGAGCAACTGGAAAAACAGTCCCATTCAGAAATCTTCTGTCAAGCATTAGGTTCTGCATTGGATGAGGTCTCTAGGAGGGTTGAGTTAGGTCTCTCTTGTCCTTGTTTGCCAAATGAGGTCTTAACCAAAATTAAAACTCAGACCGTGGTTAACCGAGGAGTCCGAAAGGAATCATCTCAACGAGATGGTAGCGATGACCTGTCGACCAGCAGCTCTTTTGACCCCCAATTGCTTATTCATCATCTGAAGTCATTAGCAATCACCCAGTGCAATGATGGTGGTGGTTGTGCTGACAGGCTAGGGTTTGTGGTGACAAAGGCTCAGCTGCTAGCTTTCAATCGCTGGAAGGGTTATGATGAGCTGGCAACGATTAGAGAATGTGGCGAGCTGTTGGAGATCAATGATGACATGTCAGGAATGCCAAGTTTGACTGTGGAACCAAAGCAGCACTTTGAGGGTAATGAGTTTCTACAGAAGAAACTGAAATTGGAGAAAAGTAGCTGGAAAACAGCAACTCTTTCTTCTGGTAATTTTAAAAAGAGGAAAGAAAATGACCAAGTAGAAGTGAATGAAGTCATAAAAAAGTTCAAACATTCCAATGGTGGTAATAATGAGTCTAAACTGTCTCCTAAGAAGCTGCTTTTTGGGATAGGAGAGCGAATACAGAGGGCTGCAATTCAACTTGGTGGATCAAGTCCAGTTCTCAAGTCTCATACAGAGCTCCCTCCATTAAATGAGGTGCTCTCGAAGCTCTCGTCTGCTGCAACAGATCCCATGAACAGCAATACCTTGGCGGGCCCGTTTTTTAGTTTTTTCATTGATTTCAGGGATTCATTTCTGAAACTCTCCGATTTCAGAGGACATGAAAAAGGGTCAGAAAAATCTGAAGAACCTTCAGGACATGTAGTTATGGAGTGTGACTCTGAGGATCCATCTGGTACAGTGGGGAAGGGAGATGTGGAGGAAGAGTCCTCACCGACTGCACTGATTCTTAACTTTCGAGACTCGGAGTCTGTACCTTTAGGAGGGGAACTGAACAAGGCATTTAGTAGGTTTGGTCCTCTGGATGAGTTGTTGACCGAAGCAAAAGGTAAGAAGAGAAAGAGTGCAAAAGTTGTGTTCAAGAAGAGAGCTGATGCTGAATCTGCTTTTAGTAACGCTGATAAATTTAGCACTCTTGGGCCATCGCTCATTAGTTACCGTCTTAACTATCTTTCAAAGGGTAGGAAATCTGAAGGCTTTTAGCTGCACTTGACTTAGATGGGACTGATATGATCTGTCAATAGTTGTCCATCCTTGTTGTTTTGCTTACTCTGTTTTGGCGAGTCCAGAGGCAATATTAGGTAATCTATTGAGAAATTAGTTCCTTTTTTTGCTAGCATGTAGACCATATAGACTACAGAATTTCAATGGCCATATTGCTCACCCGGATTTGATTGGGTAGGACTTGTCTATGTATAGTACGGAACACTCCTAGAAAACCGAGGTTAATGTGCATTTTGATTCAAAGGTTCAATTCGTGAAAAATCAGGAAATGTATCAAGAAAAACTGCTTTATTGACCAATTTTGAAGTGAACATTTCATGTGTGCAAGGTTATTGATTTTTTGTCTTTAATTTTGCAATAAATCAAGTTCTCTGTGTTTGAGATAGAAATATGCGATTTAATTGAACACCTCTCATTAACTTGTTGTTTATCATTTGATTGCACGCCTCCTATTCTTGTAAGATTTGATCAATATATCAATAGACTTCAAATTCCTCATTTTGTTATTGGCAGATTGATATCCCAATTGCTCAAATTCTTCAGATTTTAGACCGACCCCTAAATTTGTTAAAAATGAGAAGGGATATAAGTATTGATGGACTCGGGCCGGGTCGGGCCCGGGCCGGGCCTAGGCCCGGTCGAGCCGCCGGGTAGTATGACATGGGCCCGGGGCCGGCCCGAGGGTTGGACGGGTCCGGGCCGGGCCACCCGCCCGGGTCACGGGTCGGGTCCGGTTCGGGCCGGGTCGGTTAATTTTTTTTTTATAATTTATATTTTATAGTTTATAGTTTTATACGAGTATTAAAAACAAACTTCAATTGCATTTATTTGAAATGAAATAGGAACTACATTTGAAAATTAAAACAAACTTTAACAGATAAACATTTTGAAAATTGTAATCAATCGGAACTTCCCGCACCTCCTGATCCTTTGGCTTTGTCACATGACTTCATATGCTTGATTGTCATTCCGAATCCGCCAGAAACCCCCATGCTACATTTTTCTCGCACCATTTGCAAATTGCGTACCACATCCCGGTCTTTGGGTCTTTCTGCTTATCAAAATTATACCGTATAATGGCATCTTGATTTTCCATCTTAACTTCTTAAGTATTAACTATAAAGTAGATATATAAATAATAAATATAATATATTGGAGAATAAGAGAATTAGAGAGTAGAGAGTTAAGAATAGGATTTAGGAAGAATTGGAGAAGAGATATGAAAAAATGTTTAAGATTAGGAGTATTTATAGGTTTTTTTACCCCCCCACCCCCCAGCAGCCAACCCCCCCCGGACCCCCCCTTTACCCCACCCAACGGCTATATAGCCGTTTGGGTTGTCCCCACCCCCACCCCCAATGGCTAGTAGCCCAAACCAAAAAAAAAAAAATTAAAATTAGACCGGACCCGGGCCCGACCCGGCCGGGCCGGGTCACAATAATCCAGCACTGAGCCCGCCCCGCCCCTTCCCACCGGTTCGGGTCTATACCCGATCCCGGACCGCCCAACCGGGCCGGTCCCGGGCCCGCACAGTACCGGGTCGGGCCGGGTCACGGGCCGGGTGGCCCGAACCGAATCCATCCCTAGATATAAGATTAAGAGCTCGTTTGGTGAGCATGTTTTTCAACTTATCAGGCTTATCAGCCAATTTTTCATCAAACACATACTCCCTCCGGTCCCAAAAGAAATTCACTCACGGTTTACGACGATAAAGCAACTCGATCCCTGTTCACGCTCGGGTTATTTTTAGCAAATAAAATTTACATATTTATTTAGAAACTACATTAAAACCGCTACAAAGTCTGATCAAGAAAATTTAAATTTGATATATAAAATAAAACATTAAGAGTGATTTAAGTTGACTAATGAATAGTAAGTGTGAATTTCATTTAGGACCGGAGGGAGTAATTTTTTATTTCGCTCGCTGAATTGTGTAACAATTAGAAAATGTTAGATGCAGTTACTTTCAGGTTCTACTGGCTGAAGTGAGTGTAGATGACTATTTTAACTATTTGTCATATAATTTTTTCATTATTTTATTAATAAAATATATTTTAAATATAATATTTACATAAATGAGCACAATCATCAACTCAAGACACTTCAACAAGAGCTTCATATATTTCAGCAGAATTGGCCACTACAGCCGATTTTGGTACTACTAAATGAGCTCTATTTTTCTACATTTAATACCCCTAATCTAATTAACTAATTGTCCCCCTAGTTCCCTTGGGCACCGGGGCAAACCATTGGTGGGAGAGCTGACCGGCGGCAGCGGTAGCGGACTTCCGGTGAAATGTGGTGGCAGGCAGTCTGAGTGTATCTGTTTTTTTTTTGCCCAGCCAAAGCTCTGGCGAGCGCCAGAAACTTCAACCAGAAATTGGGCGGCAGATGAGTCCCGTGGTTGGTAGTTGGTACTGGTTGCAGGCGGCAGATGGTGGCAGTGGCTAGGGTGGGGCATTCATGTCAAATAAAAAAAGAATCTAATTTTGGGAGTTTTCAAACTTCTACTCTCATTTTTTATTTTCAGGCATCTTTTAATCCTACTTAGTAATGTAGCTAATTCACTCATTTTTCTGTTCCTACCTCACTCGGATCTTGAAAAACGAACCATTAATCTTCAATTTCACTCACGTAAGGTCCAAGGATCCATATCGCATTTAGAACCGCGGCAATCTGTAAATGGTATGGATTGTTGGCTTGTAGCCCTGTAGAGTTGTAGGTGTGGACTAGTGGACTGTAAAAAATAAGTAAGATTTCAACATATGCTAAAATTACTAATATGACTACAATTTATGTTCCTTACTGTTTTTTCAGAAACCCTTTAACCAAATATACAGCACCAGTTGGCGGTTCTTAGCGAGGCGAGCAATTCCTTGATTTCAGTTCAGTTTGGGAGAGATTGTTTCATATTAAAATCATTTGCTTTTCAGCTTGGTATCGGTTCAGTTTCGATTCAATTTAGTTTCAAATTCAGTTTATCAAAGTGAAATATATTAGGTTTAATATAGTTCAATTTGATTTGGTTTCATATGTTTATTTATCATTTAATCAAGTTCTATTAGGTTCAATATAGTTCAATTAGTGAATAACTCATGAAGCAAAAGGCTTCTCATCAATTAAACTCCTTGACATAAAATGAGATAACTTCAAGACATGGTTCAACCTCAATTTCTTAAATTAGAAGAGATGACAAAATTCGTGAACAGGGAATGAAATATGAAAGTCACATCCATAAAAAGGAAACAACAAAGCAAAACTAGTTCAAATCTATTTAACAATATAACATAATATGGCTGAAACAGGGTTTGCAAAATTAAGATCTTGGCTTTTCCTTCTTCTCCTTGAATAGGGCCAAAAGGGAGACACCGGACACCTTCACAACCTTAAACCTGACCCCAGGAATATCTCCGACGGCATGACCCTTTCTACCAAATCCAGCAATCAACACCTCATCCTACAATACGTGAAAAAAAATTAAGAATCTTGCCTCATGCACAATTCTACACAAAGGGAAATTAGCTTACGTTTTCTTCAATGTAGTTCAAGCAACCATCATTAGGAACGAAGGCAGCAATCTTCTTCCCATTCTTAATGAGTTGAACCCTTGCACACTTTCGGATAGCAGAGTTTGGCTGTTTGGCTTCAATACCACTGAACATGACAAGAAAAGGAAATTCAATATTCAGATTGGTAATTCAACAATGAGATGACTAATTTATTCCTAATGAGATAAGTGAATTATACATCTTCTCAAGGACAATGCCTTTAGCATGGGATGAGCCAGCAAATGGTTTCTTCCATTCATTCCCAAGATGAGACTTCTTGTACGCCTTGTCAGCCCACCTTTGATTCCTGCGGTGGGTCTTCAACTTGCGAGCAGCTCCCATACCTCGTGTCTTCCTGGGACATCATAGAAAATATGTCAAACAATAGTGTCACAATAGTCTATACATCCATCCACTAAGCATTATTCCTCTAGATGCCTGTATAAAGTTTTTTTCCCAACCTTTGCGCAGTCTAATACATTTATACTCCACCTACTCATAAATCCCCACCTAGCAATTTAGTTATTTCCTAACCCTGCAGCTTAGGAATCTCGATCTATTTACAACATTTGGTATGATGTTACATTAATTATTTTATAACGCCTTGCAATTTTCAAACAATATGTTGGTACATAGATTCGAAGACAATAAATTGTATGCCTTCAAAGTTCAAACAATTTACATTACCAAAATTGAGATGGCATAACATATGTATGACACTCTGGGGGAGTGGATATATATCATTTGATTACCCTAAATTAAACGCTAACCCGAAAACATAAGATGCAGTTATGATATTAGATAAGCTGAGAACAAAAATGATGCATCGCACAGGAAAATTACTTCTTGAGAATGAGGTTCTGCTCTTATTATGGGATACCGTGTCTTATTCAAATTAAAATGACCATAGTTTAGCGCGTTGAAATTCCTAACATGAATGTATTCAGCAGATTCTCTACATTACTTTATCAAACCTCTAAATCCCCACAAGTAAATATAACCGATCTAGTCAGACACATTCCTAGAGAACCCGTGTTAACGATATTCAACCAAAGAAAAGTAAGCATATCAACTTGAAATCCATGTCGAATAAAAGGTATCATAATTGCAAAAATAGTAGAACTGTGATGAAGACATACCCCATGATTGCTGATAGAATGCGACTGGGACTCCGGCAAAGGGTCTGAGACGATGGAGATGATGAGAAGCAGCAACTATATAAAACCCTAACCCTACACCTCAGGAGGCGCCAGAGTTTTTATAGTGCATTCTGGACAATTAGGCTTTGTTGGCCCAGTACTGATTAAAGGAGATGGGCCGTGGGCGCATTATGCTTGGATCATCGATCTCACGCAAAGAATACCCAAATGCGATGAAGGGCCGTACCAAAACATAAAGCTTCTTCTTTAATTAATTTAGGAAACAATCTACTCCCTCCGTCCCGTTGGAATGTTCCTGTTTGACCTACACACATATTAAGGAAATAAACTTATCAGTAGGTAAATTTTATTGTTTTGACACTGTTTTCGACACTGTTTGGCACTGTTTCGACACTGTTTCGACACTGTTTGACACTATTTTGCACCGTTTGACCCTGTTTTGATGTAGGATAACTTTTCATTTAGAGAAATGAGAACTTTCCAACGGGACATCCAAAAAAGGAAAGCGGGAACATTCCAACGGGACGGAGGGAGTGTTTCAAAACAAATTTTCAAATAGGAGTTACCCAGTTAGTATTATTTTCTTCCGAAGTACTACGTATTATTTTATTCTTGTCATAGGATTATATAAGTCTTTTTTTACGAAGAAAACATATTTGAACCTATATCAAAACTTTACCTATTCTTTGGTCTTGTTTTAAGCAATTCCTAATTTATATTTTTATTTTGGAAACAATTCCAGAATAGGATTAAACAAATTTGAGATTTCAAAATTGATTTTTTTATTCTGTAAATAGAAGTAATTATTATCGAGTTTGAAAAAATTTGTCATGTTTAAAATCTGACAATATCACAACATGACAGTGGTTACTCATACTTGGTGAATAAAAACTTATTATTTTTTATAGAGTATATAGGTTCTGACCCCGGGGTCTCACGACTATTGAACCTGAATAACGGCCCACATGCATTCAGTTGATAGCATTTTCATTATTGTACATTATTATTATTATTATTATTATTATTATTATTCAAGTGTTATAGATTAAACTTTTATATTATCAATCCATTTATGTTGCCGGGTCTGTCGGGCTCATATTATATGCCCTGACCCGAATTTCCCTATATATCAATCCTTAAGGAGGTCTTGTAAACCTAATTTCTATATTCATACATAATACACATTCATCTTCTTCTCTACTCCATAGCTCAAATATCTCCTAATTATATGTGTTTGGATCCCTATAATCCACTAATGGTGCTTTCATTGAGAGTTTGAGCAAGAATCAAGTGAGAATCCTCCCAAAATATCTGAAAAAATTGATTCCAATCACAAAAATACTTAAAAACCGTCTCCAACAACAAGAAAAAATGAAAAAAGCAACGAGCAGATCCGGATCGTGGCAGCTGGAGTTTCTCAGTCAGAGAGGTCTTCGCTGGAAAGATCGACACTCCGGCCACCGTAATGCGCCACAACGAAAGTTGGCCGCCTGCTGAAGCTTGTTGTCCAAGCCCACGTGTCGTCCCCATAAAAGATGAGAAAGGTGGGAGCTCTCCAGAGCTGTTCTGGCCATGGCGAAGTGGATGGACGCTACAACTAACGCCTTGCCTTGCCGGAAGTCCGGGACCTACCGTGAGCTCCGCCGCCTGCGATACCTTGGAAGCCCATGTTGCTCGTGAGGAAGTAGGGCTGAAGCTAGGTCCAGCGACGTCGTCCTTGGTGGTCCCCTGAAATCTGAAGTCATGGCTGCTGCTGCTTCTGGAGCTTTAGTCCTTCACACCCGACGAATGGAGGCAATGGGGGCTAGGTCAAAATCCATTGGCTACTCTTCAAGGCAAGCATGGAGCGTATAAGTCAAGGCCCACGAGGAATTAAATCATAGCCCATCTTACGGATTCATGGTCCAAGCAAATTTTTCAAAAGGCGGGGCTATCAACAAAACACTCCATTCCAACCCACTTAAGAGCTAAGTGCTCTTTCTCTAATGTTAATATAATTTGTCGAAATCACAAAAATGATACAAATGATTTGCCAAAAAAAATCATAAAATGAAATATTTTAATAATATAGCATCAAACTTCAATCTCGAGGGACGAGTCATCCGTTAAAAGATCCTTAAATGTGCATGTCTGGCGGATCCCAACTACGAACTTGAGTGACAACTTGAGCTAGATTATTAATTTATTATCATTATTTTTTAAATAGTGTGTATTTTTTGACATTGAAAAAACGGACTTATGAATGTCGAGTACTCGCGTACACCGGGCGAGCACACACACTCGCGCCACTGGGTCACGTCAAACGAGTGTGAATAGTAAGCTTCCAATCCAAATGTTATCAAATGCAACTCTAGTTTCTATATATGTTATGTATGAGTTATGTGTGCCCTTAACTATCGGATTCAAACTGCGACCCCCCAACGGGTGTAGGTTTAGTCCTTTACGCGTGCCACACTCAACTAAGCATAGAAATCTAGCTTGAGCCCTAGCTTGGAAATTTGAGGCCACTTAATGTAGGTCCAAATCTAATAGCAAATTATAAGCTCAAGAAATTATAACATTTTTTATTTGAATGCATATGTGCAATTAAATGATGACTTGAATTTATATTGGCCTCTCGACCATACTCGTGGTCATCTTTATTTGATGACCCGGACATCATTTTGGACGGTCGCTCAACCTATCTCTTAGTCATCTTTATTTGATGACTAGGACCACTTATCATGTTGAGCTACACACATATGAAGACCGGCCTCGACCATCATCTCGGCAGACGGACACGGTTGCAGCCCCACACCTAGACCGAAGGGCTCACCCCTTTTGCTTCATTTTGGGGGCATCCGGTGTAATCTTTTTCTCTCATTAGGATTTTGTCCCACTGAGTTTTTTCCTAATGAGGTTTTTAACGAGGCATCTCCCCAACGTGGGCAAAAGGTGTCGACCCTTGATCCCTATTGAAGACATCATGGGCATGCACTACTCTACTCCTCTTCACCTCACTACATTCACTTCAAGGATTAGGAGACTGGAAGAGCAGCTGACTTAGCGCCTCCGTTAATCAAAGAAGCATAAATTCAAATTTTTTCACAAAGTTTACTCACCAGACGATAGATTAGCATACAATTCTACTCCCTTTCGCCTCGAGTACTCTCGACTCAGAGAGTAGGAGACTCTTGATAGAGTATATAGACTTAGACCCGAGGGTCTCACGACCATTGAGCCTGGACAACGGCCCACATACACTCAGTTGATAGCATTTTCATTAATGTACATTATTATTATTATTCAGGTGTTCTAGGTTAAACTTTTGTATTATCAATCCGATTATGTTACCGGGTCTGTCAGACCCATATTATATGCTGAGATCCGGATTTCCTTATATATATTCTTTATGGAGGTCTTGTAAACCTAATTTCCATATTCATACATAATACACATTCATCTTCTTCTCTACTCCATAGCTCAAATATCTCCTAATTATATAGTTCGGATCCCTATAATCCATTAATTTTTATTTGGAATCCAAAATTTGTTAACTCTTATTTAGGACACATTGTTTTTGAGTTTTTAACATTTGTAATTTTTTCCACTTTTCTTTTAACTTCAGATATCACTAATTCTAACTAGGGATGGCAACGGGGCGGTTCGGGGTCGGGTATACCATTACCCGTACCCGCCCCGTTTGATAATATTTTTCCCCGAAACCGCCCCGTTACCCGTCGGGTATTTCCCCCCCGCGGATAACGGTTTTCCCCGCGGGTAACCGTTTATTAAAAGGTAATTTTTTTCTTCAAAATTAGTATAAATCCTAAAATGATGATTAACTACTTATAATTGATCACCTAAATTTAAAAAATCAAAATTAAATAGCACCACTTGTTTTATTAAAAGATAATTTTTTTTCTTCAAAATTAGTATGATGATTAACTACTTATAATTCACCATCTAAATTAAAAAAATCAAAATTAAATAGCACCGCAAATAAAGTTTTTTAAAACATCACAAAAAATTACAAATCTTTTGAACCTAATATTCACAAATTATATATGTCTAGATTCAAAATTATGAATCACAAAAACATTTAACTTCCAAAAATCTAAATATGAATCACAAAAACATTTAACTTCCAAAAATTCAATAATCATACCCCACCAGCATTCAGTATCTAAATTTAAGAACAGTAATGTATACAAGTAACATAATGAAAATGAGAATTTTTTCCCCTGAAATATTATTAATAAAAAATATATGGACATAAATGTGACTATAAGTTATCATGGGTAGTATTTATAGTCACCACGATATAACACTTGAATAAAATTATAAACACTAAAGTTACTAGAGTCGCATTTTTGTCCACGACTTTTATTTTGATTATAGATTTGGAATTATTTCTAAAAAGTGTACTTCTATTACTATGATTTAGGTATTCTAATTTAGAGCAACCAATTAAAATTAATCTAATCATCCAATAAAATTCTACAAAATTATTAGCAATTACATAAATTAAAGCAATCTAGAGTAATGTTTCCCAATATTTGAACTTTAAACTCATATGTTAGCTATATGAAAGTTATTGGGTGAAAAAATAAGAGAGTCATAATGTGAAAATTGTGTAAAGAAAATCATGAAAATCAAATAATCAATATGTGAAGAAAATAAATCTTATAGAAGTTAACAAAGGAAGGATGATGAATGAAATTGAAAATTAAAAATCTAAAATAGTGAATTTTGAGCATCAACTCATCAGAATTGCAAAGGATAGCCGATTAGTTGAATATTTTTCAAAAAAATTGAGGGAATAAGTGTCATATACTAATGTACTACTATTCATATATACTTAATATATTAAATAATAAATACATAAACAATTAAAATAGATAAGTTAATTGCGCGGATCGGGTAATGGTGTGGGTAACCGTATCCAAATTAAACGGGGCGGGTAACGGGGCGGGTAACGGGGCAGGTAGGTATAAACCCATAACCGCCCCATTACCCATTTACATAAATCGGGTATTCCCCGCCCCGTACCCGTTACCCAGTCAAAGCGGTTTTCCCCATTTTGACAGGTTCGGTTCGGTGCCGGTATCCATCGGGTCGGATTAAATTGCCATCCCTAATTCTAATCGCATCTGTTTGTCAATTAATTAACTCTAACTAATAGATTTTCAGTTTTCTTTGTCATGTCATCGAAATATACGCACTCTCCTGTATTGAAATGTTTACACAATAGGATTTGATATATTATTTAAAGGAAAAGTAGTAATAGTAATGAATTTGTACAAAAAGTAGGTGATATGATGAAAAATCATAAAAGAGAAGATAATTGTCCAAAAAAAGTGCAACAAAAATTAAAAACGTAAAGAGAATTTTACCCAAATAAGATCAAAACTTATGGAAATTGCAAGAATAGGACACCCATGTTTCACCTCACGCGCATAGGACTAATTATGCGTTGAAATGCCAAAAATGACCTTCAAACCGCTACACGTACTCTGAGCTCATTTGACGGTTACACAACTCCCATTACGGCACCTCCCGGTTTCCAAATTCCCAGTATCATTACCCCTGAAAAAAAGATTCCAAAAATTAAATGAAGATATATTGGAAGCCTTACCGTTGAGAGATTGCCGCTTCCTAGTCGACGTAACTTCCTTGAGGAGAGTTTCATTGAGGAGAGCCGCTTGGTTGAGGATAGTTGAAGGACGAAGCCATTGACGACAAAACGATGGATTTATCAAATACAGTTTCCGTTAGAATCAATTCCAAAATGGTATGTACTCATTTCTTATCATAATGCCTGCAATTGAATGTCGATTGGCAGTTAATAAGGTTTGAAACAAATTTGATGAATGTTAATACGTTTTAAATTAGCCGCGCAAAAACTCTTATGATGAATACTATTGCATTCGCAATAGAGTAAATGACATGTTTAATAAATTTTACTTGTTCATATAGTGTCATTTTGTATGAAAGTGACATTCCATGAGTATGTGGTTATTTACCGGCAATGTAACCTTATATGAATGTTATCATGACATTATGCATTAAATAATGACATTGTATGAATATGTGTGAGCTTCAAAGCAAAATGACATCACATATAATGAGAAATTGAGAAACTGATGCAATAATGACAGTTTAATAAATTTTACTTGTTCATATAGTGTCATTTTGTATGAAAGTGACATTCCATGAGTATGTGGTTATGTACTGGCAATGTAACATTATCTGAATGTTATCATGACATTATGCCTTAAATAATGACATTGTATGAATATGTGTTAGGTTGAAAACAAAATGACATCACATATAATGACAAATTGAGAAACTGATGCAATAATGACAGTTTAATAAATTTTACTTGTTCATATAGTGTCATTTTGTATGTGGTTATGTACTGGAAATGTAACCTTATATGAATGTTATCATGACATTATGCATTAAATAATGACATTGTATGAATATGTGTGAGCTTCAAAGCAAAATGACATCACATACAATGAGAAATTGAGAAACTGATGCAATAATGACAGTTTAATAAATTTTACTTGTTCATATAGTGTCATTTTGTATGAAAGTAACATTCCATGAGTATGTGGTTATGTACTGGCAATGTAACCTTATCTGAATGTTATCATGACATTATGCCTTAAATAATGACATTGTATGAATATGTGTTAGGTTGAAAACAAAATGACATCACATATAATGACAAATTGAGAAACTGATGCAATGATGACAGTTTAATAAATTTTACTTGCTCATATAGTGTCATTTTGTATGTGGTTATGTACTGGAAATGTAACCTTATATGAATGTTATCATGACATTATGCATTAAATAATGACATTGTATGAATATGTGTGAGCTTCAAAGCAAAATGACATCACATATAATGAGAAATTGAGAAACTGATGCAATAATGACAGTTTAATAAATTTTACTTGTTCATATAGTGTCATTTTGTATGAAAGTGGCATTCCATGAGTATGTGGTTATGTATTGGCAATGTAACCTTATCTGAATGTTATCATGACATTATGCCTTAAATAATGACATTGTATGAAAATGTGTTAGTTTGAAAACAAAATGACACCACATATAATGAGAAATTGAGAAACTGCTGCACTAATGACATTTTGTATGAAGTGTCATTATTGTTAGTCATTTACATGGTGATTAAAATGCATATATATGTGTGAACTTGACAGACAATAACAAGAGCTTTTAAGAAGTCAGTGTTACTGAAGTTGGAAGACTTGCGTGTCAACTCCTACTGCAATGTTGCTGAGGTTTTTAAGAAAATAAAGACATATCTAAGCACAGATGAACTGACAGAGTTCAAGAATACTGTATTTGGTTGGATGTTAAGAATAGAAGATATTACTTGGCTGAGTGGACAATTGATTTTGGGATTGATTGGAAACTTTGTGACTGAAGTTAATGGAAAGACAGATGACAGTGTCATCAGGTTTAACATTAAAGACAGTGTGATCAGTTTTCAGAAGCATGATCTTGCAGTAATGTGTGCTTTAAAGTTTGGAGTTGTGAAACCAAATATTTCCGAAGAGCTTGAGGGAGATATATGGACAAATTATTCAGGAGGCAAGACAACTTTGACTCGTGCAGATATTCAGAATGCATTGAAGAATTACAAGAGCACTGATGATAGCAGACTGACAAATGACATAAAAGGCATCCACACCTGTTTGGATTATCATTCGTTGCAAGGCAGTTGCGGACGGCAATCCATGCAATGAATGAGAACTTAGGAGGTATGTAAGCTTTCCAAATAAAAGGCATCCACACCTGTTTGGTGCCCTTGACTCTAATCAAGTGATACACTTTTGAAGAGCACAATTTCCCATTTGTAACCATCTTAGAGAGGGCTGCATGTACAAGTTTATTCAATTATGTTTATCTACAGGATACTTGTATTTTCATATGCAAGGATTGTTTGTGGGGTCAGATTTGAGTACATGCAACATGTAAATGACATAAAATGACAGTTACATGACATTTTTTAGAAACCCAAATGACATCAACAATGAACAATATCAATTACGCATATACAATAGGACATCACAATATTGACATGCCATTGTGGGCAATGGAAATGGCTAAATTTATTACACTGACATCAAATGTCAAATACATCATTGACTTCTATCCATAACAAACTGTCATCAATTGTGAACAGAAATTGTCATCAAATCTGACATATGTCAGTTACGAGTAAACAAAATGCCAAAACACAAGGCCTGAAAACTAAATGGCAGAACATTTAAACAAATGATAACTGTGTCCAAACCACATAATAGAATTCTTAAAAGTACTTTATAAAAACAAAAGACAAAATACAATGAATTAGCCATGGGTATCACTGGGTATTGATTGGAATGAGATTCCTACAAGTTTTCTTATTATGGCCAAGCACATGGCATCTAGAACATTTTTGTCTTTTTGAACCTCTATATTCTCCAATGGATGGAATCCTGGATTTCTTCGGGCGACCAGGAGGACACTTCATACAAGTTGGTGACTTGCATAGTTGGTTTGAATAGTAGCAGGAACAGACCAACTGTCACGATCAACAATTGGATGCATAATACCAGACCATGTAGCAAGCCAAGCATCTCTAGTATAAAAAGGAGAAATGTAAGTATAACATGACAGATGTGGGCGTATAGCAATTGCAGCAACAGCATGAACACAAACAAAGTGATCTAGTTGAAAGTGACCACAAGTACAACTTCTAGAGTTGAGATTGACCACAAAGGACGTGCATCTGCTATCAACAACTTCAAATTCATATGCACATGATGGTTTCACCTAGGAAATGGCCAAAATATGAATATCAAATTAGAATAAAAACGAAGCACCTAAACAATATACTAACAAAGAACAAAACTGACAGATTTGCAGAATCAAAATGACATAGTGATAAACAAAGTGGCATTATATAACCAGATAAAAAACTGAGAACTGACTTATGGTTAAAAATCAGCTTTGACATACCTTCATACGTGTAGCTTCAGCTTGCAAAGCTACAAGACGTTTCTCACATTTCCGTGTGAGTATAGTACTTGTTTTCTCAGCTTTATCTTTCCTCTCTGTGAACCATTGTTGCATCCTTTCACGCAAAAACTCAACAAGTTTAGAGACTGAATACTCTCTTGCACATACATTGACTTTGTTCATAGACTCAGCACAATTGGAGGTCATAATATTATATCTCTTTGGTCCAGAAATTACTTTTGACCATGTGTTAGCACCTATTTTGTCTAGCCAAGTCCTTATCCTGGAGTTTTCAGAATCCAACATGGATAAGTAATCATCATATTCTTTAACAGTTGCTGCCATATAGGCAGCTTTGAACTTCCATCCCAAAGTAGCTGCAGATCCTCTAAATTTGTGTGTCATGTTACGACGCAGATGAGCAACACAAAAACCATGGCTAGCATGTGGCAAGATTTCAGAAACAGCCTTTATAAGACCTTTATGCCTATCAGATACTACATAAAGGTCATGTCTGTACTGTATTGACTGACAGACTTTGGATAAAAACCATTTCCAAGAAGATTTTGTTTCAGACTCACAAATACCAGATGCAATAGGAACTATGTGATCATTGACATCTTGACAACAAGCTGTAAGAAGAGTGCCTTTATAGTAAGCCTTGAGGAATGAACCATCCAGTATAAGAACAGGTCTACAGTGAGGCCAAGCTTCTATCCATGCTCTGAATGACATAAAAAAGGTACAAAATGCATCATCCTTCCCTGTGACTAGATCAAACATAGAGCCAGGATTCGCCATCTCAAGCACATAAGCCATAGAAGGCAAAACCTGATAGGATTCAAGATCAGAACCAAATTGCAGCTGCATTGCTTTCTTCTGTGCTTTCCAAGATTTTTTGAATGACATGGAAATTCCATACTGCATACTCATGTCTTCACGAATTTGTTTTGGTGGGTACGGTTTATTGGAAGCATCAAGGTATTTGTGTGCAATAACTTTTGCTATCACAGTAGCAGTTGCCTGTCTATGTTTGTCTTGTCTATAATCAATAGAGCATGTGTGTTCTGGACAGAATCTAAAATGACAAAACAATGGCATTTTTATACAAGTGAGTAATATACAATAGGCATTCTTGGACAAGAATGTCACCAATACATGGCATTCTGATAAACAAGAATTAACAACGAAGTCAAACAAAAAGAATGAAATAAGAAGTTACCTTCTAATTTGAAACATTTGTACGCCAGGTAGTCTTACAGCTCGAACAGTCCAACGACATTTTGGATCTAAGCAAATAACATGTAAAGATATTTTCCTAGAGGTCTTTGTCCTGTATTGAAAGTGGTTTGTGATAGCATACACCTTCAGATGGTGGATAAGGTCTCTTTTACTTTTGTAAATAGCATATAGAACAAGACAAGTAGGATGGGACTGTGTGATGACTTCAAAATTGTGGAGAAATGACAGTGACTGAGATGATTCTATTACTAAGCCATCTGACATGTCATCCATGCCTTCATCACTGTCTTCAGATGTTTCAATTTCTACAGCTCTAGACACAGTGTTACTACAAGAAGCAACATCTTGAGAGTGTCTACCAGAGATGTTAACATTTTCAGTGCAAAAAGATGAGCTATGATCAAAAGAGAGTGCAGGTGAGGAGGCATGTTGTTGGGAAGAAACAACAACATTCTCATCAACAAAAAGTGAATGAGTTGAAGAAATGACAACATTTTTAGCTGAAGGAAAAGCAGAAGGTTCAACACCAACAAAAGATGGATATGAAGAAGAGATAGGATAAAATGTTAAGGTAGATTGATCATTTATAGTTACAGGAGGAGGGAATCCATCTCTCATATAAGAAAGCCTGAAATTATGATTAGGTTTGTACTGAGAAAGGATGGCAGTCAACATATCAACAAAACAAGCACATTGAACACCATAGTTAACATGAAGCCCACATGTGTGCACATTGGTGAACACATAGTCAGAATCCCAAAAACCATCGACCTTGACCATAACAAGTAAAACAGGATCCATTGTGCAAAAAGGTTCCTAAAAATTGAAGGAAAAACAAATATTTCAGTATAACAGAAGCATGAAAGAAGAAAGTTGGTTATACTAAAATGACAGTTTGCGTGAATATGTGACAGTCTATAAGGATGTATAAATAATATTTACCACACAAAATGGCAAATCAGCAAACAATACAAAATGACAGTTAGAAATACAAAAGAGCCAGTTATGAAGAACCTAATCTAGTACTTACAGCAAGACACGATTTAAACACCAACATTAAACGCAGAAATAGCAACATACGAAGAAATTTCATGAAATAAAAGCATTGATAGAGTTGATGAAAAGCAAACGAGCTAAATTATTAACAATAATGAATTTGAAATCGATTATAAAAATTTTGAATTTTTTGTTAATATTGTAGAAGCAAAATACAGAGGAATAAAACATATTGATGATTTTAGAACGACATGTGTACAACAGACGAATTGACATATTCTAGAAGCAAAATGAGAGCGATTGCAACATAAATTTAACCATGATTGGTGAAGAAGGACTATACAGGAAAGTTTCGGTGAACATACTCTGCAAACGAACGAACAATGGCGGAAGAAGATGAATGCAGAGGAGAAGGACGAACAGCTCAAACAAAACGCGAAGAAGATGATTGACGGAGAAGAAGAATATCGCGAAAAAAAACAGAGTACGTCAACTGACTTCCCAACTGATTTAGGAAACTAATTTTCTGGAAAGAATCTCGATCAAAGAGGGAAACTAACGGAAACTCATAAATGCTTTCACACATGGATTACCGAAAATAGCCGGTAACACCTGCGGCTTAATGGCAAACATAGGCAGGGGTATTTTGGATATTGCTTAAAGCGTTAAACATACCTATAGAACCGTATAACTCCTATTAGGGGGAATAAAACATAGTAAGTCCTATTATGGCTTTTTAAGTAAGTTTTAGTCCTATTATGGACAATTTTTTCAAACGTAAACGATTGGTTGCACATTATTTAACTCCTATGTTAGTCTTTGGAAAGTAATAAAATGATGAAGTTAAAAGTTTAGATGAACTCGTTTTTTAAAATGTAGATGACTTTATAGTTAGAGAGGGATGACTAAAAAGAAAAAAGGACAAAAAAAGGTGGGTAGAAAAATGGTAGACATCTAAAGTAAAACTTTCATATTTACATAACCAAAAATATATTTAAACTTTTCAAATAATACGCTTCATTGAGTAGGAGTGTGTAAAAACCAACTCAAACCGGTAATTCGGATCGTAAAAATCATAACCGAATATAATACAGATTTTCAATCTGATTATAGGTTTAAATCGGATTATTTTAGATCGAATTGGGCTAAACCCGGGTTGTTGTATTTTAAAATATACTCCGTGTTAGTTAATGTGAATACTATAGAATAGTCATGAAATAAATAATACGTAGTAGTAATTATTATTATAATTATAATTATATTAATAGTATATATTATCTTCATGTTATATTCACCCATCTATTCTTATTATCGTGACAATAGAAGTGACTAATATTTACTACTTAGTATTATTCTACACTCAAATTGTTCCAATATTTTCCGCTCTCTAAAATAATGAAGATGAAAGTTATTAATAAATCAATAATAATATTAATAGTAATATCAATATATACTTTCTCCATATTTTTTGTTCATAACACTTTTATTTTTAGAAAGTATTTTAATCTTGGTCACACTTTCCATTTATAAAAAGTTTCTGTCAAAACATACTTAAATACATTTACATTTTATCTTTAATTGCATCCTCTACCTAGTTTATAAGTTTAAACTACCACTATTATTTTTTACTAAACCATGTGCCAAAACATAATGTTGTAAACAAAAAAAATATGGAGGCCGGTAGGTAGAATTATTAATAATACAAATTCATAAAAACCATTTTTCATCCTGATTTGAACCGGTTAAACTTGTTCAGTCTAGGATAAAAACCGGAATATTCAATCCAATTTACGATTTCTACACTATAATACGTATTAGTGTTAATATTGAAATTATTTTGAGACACACGACTAGTGTCGTCAAGTGTATTAACCAAGGATTGTTGTCAATAAGCTTATACGGATTGTTCATTATTGCACACCCACATTAGTCTTCTTTATTTTGCAGTTCTTCTTACTTATTAGATGTCTTTCAAATTTAATCAACTTATTAGTAAATCGCTATTTGATCAAACATCAATTTGTAGTTCTTGGTGCAAAAAGTTGTTGATTTTTTACACGTTTAACATGGCTTCATAGGGAATAAAACTTACACTTCTTTCATCAAGTTCTTTAAAGGTGTGTGGGGGTTGGTTTCTAAGAGGGAGAGAAACATGTGAAAGTTGATGACCTTTTCATTTGTGTTTGAAAGTTTAAAAAATGTGGAGTAATGATTTTAGAAAGATTTTATGATCTCCAAAATATATCAAATGCTCAATTTTAAACTACTTCAAAATGACAAATTTTGAAGGATAACTACTTAAACGATAATTTAAGTTAAATTAAAAATGAATATCAAGCAACTATTAGAACTCATCGTATCTAATGAAGTACTTTTAATTTTAATTCCTTCTAAAATTCTTTGCTTCAAGTTTATTAGAAGATTTTTTTCAAAGCCTTCGCCTCATTTTCCTCTAAACTCCCAAGCATATCTTAAATAAACAAGTCTTTAAATTTTATTTATGTGTTACATTGTCAAGAGTTTATTACAATACCTAAATGTTATCTTACCTACTAAGAATGGTAAAATCATGATATAAATACATACTAGGAGTGATAAAAATGCACAATTATAACACTTTTAGCAACATGTGTGAGCTTAATTCCATCTTCTTTTGAAAAGAGTCAATTCTACCTTTGACTTTTTTTCAACAGAACTCCAAATTTCTTAAGCACGTTCCCATTCTTCTTCTTGGGCCACTCTTCTTCAAAGTCATCATCTGATAATGGCGTCCCCAGCTTCCCGCCAAGAGTATGATCCATAGAGTGTTTCCCATTGTTCTCACCTGACAGAATAGCCGCAGCCGCTTCTGCCGCTTTTCTCCACTGATTACATTGCACTCTCAACTTTCTCAGTTCATCTTCTATCTCCCAATTTTCAGGGTTTTCACTGATCTTACCTTCTTCCGCCATGGATTCTTGTTCTTCAATAATCTCAACCACATTTAAATCAATAATTTCATCTTTGATTGTGTTCTTTCTGTCATCCCTTTCCTGGATTTGCGATTTTAAGAGATCATTCTCCTCATTCAGATATTTCAGTTTCGTCTCTTGATCAACCAAACAGGCCTTTAGGCCCGCAAGAGCCAAAATTAACGATTTATATGCCTCATCGGCTTTTGATAAATCGCCGCGTAATGTTTCTTCGGTCATTCGAGAAACTTCCAGTTTCATCTCCGCTTTTTTGAGTTCGCTCAACGTTTGGGCTTCAGAAACTTTGGATTCGTTTAGCTGAGATTTGAAATCCTCGAGCAGAGCGAGATTGTCAGCGATCTCTAATCCCATGTGATGGATTTGATCCTTGAGCTTCTGGATTTCAGCCATGGCGGAAATATCCAAATCGCGTTGGTTACGGAGAGCTTCGAGTTCGGATTCCCAGGCTCGGTCTCGATCGTGCGAGATCTGGAGAAGTTCTCGGAGACGAGATGATTCGGAATCTGAGAGGTCGATAAGTTGTTTATGAGATTCTTCTAGTTTGTGTGACATGGCTCCTAACTGTTTCTTAGTATCTTGTGCTTCTTGTTGTGCCTTCTTCTTCATTGATTCAGATGAAGTTAACTGCTCCTTTGCCTTCTTCAGCTCTTCTTGGAGTTGCAGAAATCGAGTCTCTAGAGCAGACACTTTGGTTGAACTAGTCTGGCATGGAAATTTAAGAAAATCTTATACAACATTTTATGTGAAGTGTATTACTGTAATCTATACCTAGCTAGTAGAAAGGTAAAGTATGAGTTAATGAAGTGATTGAATTGCATATGATTGAGTGTATCTGAAGAACAGATCAAATGCATGAAGGTAAGAAGTATCCAACACTTAAATTATCAAGATTTCAGTTTTGCTAGCTTGCTTATTGTCAGTTGTTGAAAAATGCAAAACTTAGAAGTGAACCAAGTAACTCAAGACACTAAGTTATCTTTGTTTAATTTGTGTGAGTTTCTGTTGGTTTTGACACGTTCGAGTTGATTTTTTCTACTCAGTTTGCTTTTAAAGCATAACCCTTAAATCATAAATAGAACCTATATGGTTTTATTACGTTAGGGTTGTTTTGGTGTGATTTAGTATTGTTTGGTTTGATTTCGGTTAGTTTCAATTTCTTTGCTTAGATCAAGTAGATTGCTTGTGTTACCTTAACTATCTAGACATCGAAGGAAACCAAACCACCCCTTCTCATAGCTAGCTATCCCTCTAATGATGGAAGTTGCATAAAGCAAGAAAGAAAAGAAAGGAACCACTTAAACTATCTCTTTTTTTATCGTTCACCAAAAATGAAAGAAGTTGCACAAAGCAAGCAGAAAAGAAGAAGATAGTCACTTTGGTTGCACATTTAGTCTGGCATAAAAATATAGGAAAATCTTATACAACATTTTATGTGAAGAATATTACTTATAGCAAGTAGACAGGTAAAGTATGAGTTAGCGTGAAATGATTGAATTGCATATGATTGAGTTTATATGAAGAACAGAATACATGAAGTGATGAAGCTAAGAAGTATCCAACAGACCAACACTTGTATCATCAAGAGTTTCAGTTTTGGTAGCTTGGTTATTGTCAGTTGTTGTGTGAGTTTCAGTTGGTTTTGACATGTTTGAGTAGATTTTTTCTGGCTCAGTTTGCTTTTAAAGCATAGCCCTTCAATCGTAAATAGAACTGCATTTTAATTATGTTTGGTTTGTTTTGGTTTGATTTCGGTTAGTTTTGATACTTTTTGTTTCTTTTATCTGCTTATGGATCAAATAGGTTGCTTGTGTTGTACGTTCACTATCTTGACACCAAAGGAAACCAAACCAACCCTTTTCATAGACTATAGCTATCCCTCTCTAATGAAGGAAGTTGCATAAAGCAAAAAAAAAAAAAGGCAGCCACTTAAACTGTCTCTATTTTTTATGGTTCACCAAAAATGAAGAAAGTTGCACAAAGCAAGCAGAAAAGAAGAAGACAGTCACTTAAATTATTTTTATCTGTATTCACGCGGCATTTTACACAAAAGAGGATGAACCATATACATCGGACTACACAACAACTAGGAAATAAGGCTCACAAGTGTTTGTTTTAAGTTACGCACACCCAAAAAATACTATCTTGACTCTTGAGTAATTGAGTTGCAGTAGCAAATGAATGAGGTTTTATGGGACATAATTGAGTTGCAGTAGCAAATGAAATAAGGCGGAATCAGGATGGTAATATGAGTTTTTGAACTATATATATACCATGCAGTGATGCGCGTACACTACATTGTATTTTCATGGGACATTTTTGTGAAACTTATGAATTGAATCTCATAAAGTAGTACCCAAACCAGCAATGGCGTAACCAGGGCGGTACGTCGGGCTCGGTCGATACCAAACTTTTTTGAAACTTTTTATGCAACATTTTCACCTTAAATTTCTTATAGCCCTAGCTACGCCCCTGCAAACAAGTACCTCAACTGCAGAGCTTTGGGGAGACCGTCGATCGTTTACTTTCAAGTTCCTGCTTTTTGGTGCCCTGCAACTTCTGTTTGGATTAATAGGAGACGAAGAGGCAGACTCATAATCTGAGAATCTTGCATTCTTAATCTTTCGTCCGGTTGGAGCAAGAGACGTTGTCCTGTAAACAATGGCACAGACAAAAATAACCAAAGAAGCAGCAAAAAGTATTATGATGATCATAGTCTTCCACTGTTGGACAAAGAGGTCAACTACAGAGAAGATTCAGTCAAATGATTGAATCTACAAGCACTCACCTTGCTGCTTTTATTGGGTCCTGCATTCTTAATTCTTCTCTGGAGAATGAAGGATTTGATGAAGTAACTTATTAACCCTTCTTAATCCACATTCAAATTGTAAACCTAATTGAACAAAGAAACTATACCAAAAAAACATTAATAACACATAAAATTGCTTCAAAGAAACTCTAGGGATTGAAACCACCTCCACTCCACCAACCCAACGCAAGACCAAGATATTAAACCTAACGACGTTTCTATCAAACCAATATATAAAACCAAGATTGTATATTACACTTCACATATACAATTTCGTACAATTTTCTAAAATTTGCTTTGATGAATTGTTTGTGTACACAAACAACTAGAAGCGTGTATAAAAAACATGTACAAATCACGTGTATACGCAAAGTTTTCCATATTAACAAGGTTAAAGAATCGCAAGATTAGACTACTTTTATGCTATACGAGTACTCTATATGGGGACACGGGTGCAGTTCCCTAATTAGACATGAACCTGTTGGTTTTTACCATGAATATGGAACCGGACTGGCAAGAATATGATACATAACAAGTTATGATCTGTTCATTTAGTCAAAAATATTGGTTTGGGTTGGTTTGATCTAGCGGTATAATATTGTCGGTATGAAAAATTAGTGTAATACTGTAATTAAATACTTCCTCTGTTCTTTTTTAAATGCAATGGTTCACTTTTCACGATGGCCAACGCACAAGTTTTACCATTAATATCCTTAATTCCTTATTAGTAAAACAATTAAAAAAATAGATTTTGAAATTTTAAAATGAGAGGAATTTAACAATATTTTTTTTAAATTTAATTTATAATACATTAATAAATAAAATCTTCTAATATACAAAGCGAGGAGAAAATCTGCTCATTTTCCCGCCCAAAGCACTGCCTCAAAACGGGTCGGGTCGGTTGTCTCTGGTGGTTTGGGTTATTGGCCTGCAAAAAAGTACTGCATTTAATGTAATCCCAATTATCAATAAAGCAAGGTGCTGGGCTCAATAAAAAGTCTTCTTAATGTGGCCAGCACGAATCTCGGAGATAAAGCAAGAGGAATGTCATTTCGAATTAATTCGATTGAAGCATACAATATGTGCTGGCCGTTTTTTCGCACCACATTTGATGCTTTGATCACAGTTCATTTAATTTGTGTACTACATAATCTTTAGAAAAGATCTTTGCACAATGGACCATAGGTTAATAACCAATTTGCTTTGAAAAGCAAGTACTTCTGCCCCTATAAATACCCTCCATAAGGGTTGCAAACCACACCATCAGCAAGCATTGCACAAGCAAATACTACTACTACTACTACAAAGCAATGACATGTTCATCAACTCAATCAGGGATGTGGTCGTTGATCAAAGACATTGATTACACGAAATCCACTTGGGCATTGAGAGTTAGAGTGGTTAGGGCGTACGAGGTGCCACCCCATTCCAGGGGCGGGGAAACCCTGAAGATGGTGCTGTACAATGCGGAGGTAAATATTTAAATTAAAAAGTGGCATTGCCGCACATTCTAATCATTTTTAAGTTGGTATTAACAAAAAGTCGTTTAACAGGGAGATCGTATTCACGCCACCATCAAGAGGCCGCATTTTTCAATGTACAAGTCCTTGATCAAAGAACACCAAGTGTATGCATTGAGGAACTTTTTGGTTCTTGACAATTACCAGACTGTGAAAACAACCCCTCACCCCTATTTAATCCAGTTCATCAGCAAAACTGCGTTCAGGGAAGACAATAAGACTGATTTGTCGATGTTTGTGTATGACTTTCAACCATTCGAAATGCTTCAAGCTCAAAGGGTGATCAATGACAAAAATCTTATATGTAGTGGTTTCTTTTTTTAGATCACTAATTATGTATAATGAAAAGATTAATTGTATTTTCTGCGATGTGTTAGATGTCATTGGAAAGGTGATAAGCAAAAGCATGGTTCAAACACACATCATCAATGGAAAGGCTGAAAGATTGATGGAACTTACGTTCGGGGACCTAGAGTAAGCTTTTTTTCAGATACTTAGACCATCATTAACCTTATGAATGTATGATGCTAACAATTAACCTTTAATGTAACAGGGGCAACAGACTCGGTTGTGTCCTATGGAATAAATACATAACCCAATACATGGATTATGTTAATCAGAACGTTAATCAATCGATTTTCATCATATTTCAACTGTGCAGGCCCAAGAGATACCAAGGTAAGTAAAAAAAATTGTACTATGTAGCTTTGGCAGCATGTTTCATCAATGTTGGATTAAACTGTTATATGTTTTAGGTCCCCTATCTGTGTCATCTTCATTTGATGTATCAAAACTGATCATCAATGGCACAACGTCTGAGTTTCTTGACTTCGTAAATGAGTAAGGCCTTAAGATATTGGGTCGGGTGCACTGGGTCCAACGTGTAGATTGAGTGTGGCAGCAGTCATATTTCATTAATAAGGTTAAATATCTTTGAAGGCCGATGCCTTCTTAAAATTTATGCCAAAAATTGGAGATCACATTAAATGCATTCATTCATTTCGGTTGACTTACATTACCATTATAGTTCACAATCCAGAATAGTACAATTGGGTAGTTGGAAGTTGTTCCAAAAATAGATGTTCAATTAATGAGATATCTACAGAATGCTAAAGAATCCAAGATAAGCATTAAATGAATTTGATCTTCAGAATGCTTACACGAGAAAAAAAGTTTTGATTTTGACAACACATCCCATCTGCGTTTGAAGTAGAAACCACTTTTGATGTAGTTGAGGGGTTAGACACGAATGAAGATATACAATTAATGTAGAGCAAAAAGTATTCGCAGATGGTGTAGTTTTTTATTATATTCCGATTCAAAATTTTTAAACCTATTGGGCCGAGCACTTAAGTTTAGTTGTGAAATACTATTGGACCACAAAGTTCTGCTATAAATAGGACACTTCCCACAGCCATTCTCACACAACAAACTCTCAGCAGTCTATACTTCCCAACTCTCCAGTACTCCCAACTCCAACTAAACCTATGGCTGCCAGTAAGAGTTCAGGAATGTGGTCTCTCATAAATGAGATTGACCACAGCAAAACCTCTTGGGCTTTGAGAGTAAGAGTGGTTAGGGTATTTGAAGTAGCAGCTCATGCTAGGGGAGGTAACACTCTAGAAATGGTGCTCCATGATGAAGAGGTATATCTTGATTGAACTGTAGTTTCCATATTCATACATTTTTCCAGTTATTTTCCAAACTTATATATGCCATTTTTGTAGGGCAACTGGATTCATGCTGTGGTTAAACGACCACAAGTTGCTCTGTTCATACCTCAAGTAATGGAAGACAATGTCTATGCAATGAAGAATTTCATGGTACTCGACAACTACCAGCTGTACAAAACCACCTCTCACCCTTACATCTTGGAGTTTGTGAGCAGGACAAAGGTGGTTCACTTGGATAAGGAGTTTCCTAACTTCATGTATGACCTGCATCCATTTGAGATGCTACAAGCTCAAAGGGTGCTTAACGATAGGCTGCTAATAGGTAAATAACTATCCTAACTCTAATGATTAGTTCATACAAATGTATTTGTTGCATACTAACTGTTTTTTAAATCAGATGTCATTGGAAAGGTTGTGGGGCGCTGTGCACCACAGACCCATGTCATCAACAACCGCACAGAGAGGCTGATGGAACTCACCCTAGAAGATTCTGAGTACAGATTGATTATATAAATTCCATGTTATTTCAAAACGTAAATAAATCAGTCTTAATTTCTCTTAATATTGCAGCGAGAACAGAATCGGTTGTACATTGTGGAACAACTACATTACTGACTTTAATGACTATGTGAACCAAGCTCAAAATGAGGCCATCTTCATGATTGTTCAACTCTGCAGGCCAAAGCGCTACAAGGGTACTCTATTAACGTTTTGAAATGCTTTTTCTAATTGGTGGACTAAATTATCTAACCATATACGGTTTTCGCAGGAAATGTTTCGGTTTCTTCATCGTTTGATGTGACAAAGCTTATCATCAACGAATACAGGAATGAGTTTCAAGAATTCAAAAATCTGTGAGTTTCAATAAAGTACCTTAAGATATTTGAAACATTCAAAGTACCTAAAAGAAATACTTTTGTACAGGTTTGATGAGCAAGCAAAGGTTAATGGAACTCTCACGTTTCTTGGAACCCAGTCAATCAACAATGGTCATGACGACATTTTGGGTGGAAATGTAACTCTCACCACTGTTAGTGAATTACTAGAAAAAACTGAGGTTAGTATACTCTAGGCTAAGGCTTCAAGCTATAGTAGTTCGATTTACTATGTGTAACAACGGTTTCAATTTTTTTTTCAGGAAGGAATATACTAGGTGCTGGCAGAGATTGTCTCAATAGACAGTTTTAGGGAGTGGTGCTACTTAGGGTGCACGTGATGCAACAAAAAGGTGGTCCCTGAGGAAAACAGATTTAGATGTGCATCATGCAGCATCACTCTGGCAGAAGGTGTTCTAAGGTGAAGTTCGTGTTCATGTCCTCTATGTTAGGCAAGCATTTTAGTTATTCGAATCTACTTACTATTGATATGATACAGATACGAAGTGAGCATCTGTGTTATGGATGATATTGGTCATGCCTCATTCACTCTATGGGACAAAGAGTGCTCTGAAATTCTGGGGAAGTCAGCAGCGAGATTGAGGAGGGAAGTCATGGAGGTGGGATTTAAACACTTTAATGATACATACAATTCAATACTAAAAAAATATTTCTTACTTCATACAAAGTTTTTGACAAATGTATATATTTTTTGGAATGATTCAGAAAACGGGAGATCCTAACCATTTTCCTGAAGAGATTGAGGCTGTTATTGAGAAAAAAGGTTTATTCAAAGTCCAAGTCAAGAACAAGCCAGAAGGATGCTCTTATAACGGAACGAGTTCATTTGGGGTGTTGTCTATGTTCAGAGACCCGGCTATTTTGGCAATGTATAAGTCAAATGAAGGAGAAACTATGGAATTTGATGAGCTAGAGGACAAGGAAATGGTATCTTTTTCTAACACATTTTTCTTTTTTGTTAAGATTTTAACCCTCTAAATTACTTTTAATATATTCAATGGATTTTCATTTTAGAGTGGTTCAGTGAACAACGCAGAGCTGATCGTACATAGCAAAGAAGGTGAAGCCAACGGAAAGGCTAAGGTACATATAAAACACGTTTCAGATACATGTTTCTTAATATTGGTTCATGTCTTTTCTAAACTTAAGTTTCAACATGCCACTTGAACATGGCCCTACCAAAATTAACTTTATGTGTAGGTCAATGAAGGTGCAGAAGAGGACACTCCTCAGACTTCAGCAAAGAAAACAGTGATTGCATTGGACGACTCAATGAAACGAAAATTGGAGGACGAGTTTTCAGCAACTAAGAATGGAAAAAGAATGAGGGTTAAGGTTAAGAAGGAAAATGATTAGGACTTACTGCAGGGCTGTTTGGGATGGAGAAGATTCTTCAAGATGTTTGTTGAAAGCTTAATTATAAGCAGAGCCAAGGATGGTTATTTTGTTTGACTAACATCTATGTCAAAAGCAAACTTTTCTTTTCAGCTTTTTTGGGAATGCGTGTGAACTTAATGAGCATTTAAGTGTTGTAATAACTCTAGACTTATTCTATTAGGATTACTATGTGAGATCCTACCTTATGTTGGGTGACCTACGGAATTTGTGGATGACCTATATAAATGTGTATTTTGGATGTGCTTTTTCTTTTTCCTTTCAGGTGGAGGTGAATGGCTTGCCAAATCTAAGGCTAAAGATACAAACAGCAAGGAGGGAAAATAGTATCAAGGACATTCCATCATATCTAATGCACCAGCCAGAGTTCTTTATAAACTTAGAAATAGTTCAGATGGAAATTTTATATCATTTTTCAATGCAATATTGTATTGATATTATTGTAATGTAATTATGGAATTAAACAGTTTGTTATTTAAAATAAGTTGTATATATGTTATGTATTATATATTTTTAAGAACAGTTGATTGCATATTCAAAGAGGTGAGTTGAAAAAGTTTTGGTTATATTAATTATTGGACAAAATACAGAGAGAATAAGTTCAATTTTATTTTAAGACTAAAAAATGAAAAAAAACATAAATAACCTCAAAGAGAAATGATTTAATTTTAAAAATGATGGTTTAAAGGTGAACACTCTAAACACTGTTTTCATTGTTTTCGAAAAAATGTTTAAAACCAAACAGTAAAGTATGGGCCATACTCTTATCAGACTGACTAGAGTAAATTTTGTAAAGATATTGTTGAAAACTAATTTAACACATAGTTCAAAGATGTTAGAAAAAATGTTTTTCCCGTATACAAAAAAATTGCTGATGTACTTTGCCCATGTCAAAGCCTGGTAATGTAAGAAAAAGCTAAATTTATTCCATTAAAGAACTTTGGCCAGTGCAAATTCAATCCTAATGAACAAAAAGTTTATTGTTGAAAATAAAGCAGAAGCATATGTAACACGCAACATACCTATGTCTTTGGATGCTGTGACAGAACCCTGCAAATCCTAATATCAACTAATATACTTATTACATTTTGGCAACCTTTATAAGGTCCCAGATTCCTAGGAATTACATGTATGTTCTTCATAAAAAAAAGATCTAACTGCATTTTCCACTCCTTATTGTAAGCTGAACAAGCTTAACATGTACATGTGGAAAAAACATCAGTGGATACCTTTTACTAAACCCTAGAAAAGTAACTCTTCTTTGAATGACTAAATAAATTAAAAAGTCAATAAATTATTATGTAAAGTATATAATTAATGTATGTGCTCAAATTATTATTTAATGTATGTGCTCAAATATTTTAAATAAGAATATAAAAACATAGGTGGCAATTACATATAAATGCATTAAAACTAAACGGTATATAATATTAAAAAAGCCCTTATATTAAACTTTGTCTTAAAGTATATGCATATGTTTAAAATCACCCAAAATATTAAAATTTTGAAAAGTCAAGAGAATAATTTAGGCAAATAAGGTATAACATTTGAGCACAGTTAATGTAGGCCTTTGAGTATCCTCAATTCCCTAATAATTGACAAAGGCCAGAAAAAACTTTTTATCACAAATGCATGGTGGTTCACAAGTAAAGTAGTCATTCAGCGGTAAAAAAGAGTGTGGTAGTTAAGAAATGGTTGTTTCCCAATAAAAAAGTTTTGATGTCAGTCTGTGACTTTTAATGAAACGTAGCTCTCAAATGTAGTCATTCAAAGTTGACAGACTTATTAAAAATGGATTGTTTCCGATGAAAATTTGAAATGCAGCCGTGTAAAGTAATGAAACGTAGCTATCCCAATTGCTTTAATCAATGCTGTCAGATTAAGATATTTACCTCTGGGTATTGCCCAGTCTCACATTCCCATTATAAATAGACATAAATGAATCCAACAACTTACAAGAACCTCATTTATTAGCTAGAAACGAAATAGCAATTCAGAGAATCCATCACCATGAATGTAGTCTAAGAGTGCAAGGGTTTGCCATTAAAGAGCAATAAAAGGTTAGTTATATATTATTTTGCTATGTCAAATTTTATGTAGTAAATATTCATACTAAACATTGAATCTATAAAAAAAATGCATGCTGTAAAACATAGAGTATGAATGCAGTTTTGCGTACAGATTTTAGTAAAAATGATATATATTTCATATACAGATTGACCTATCAGAAATAAAATGCATGTTGTAAAACATAGAGTATGAATGCAGTTTTGAGTACACATTTTAGTAAAAATGATATATATTTCATATAGAGATTGACCTATCAGAAATAAAAAGGATGAATACTGCAACATTTAGTCTTAAATGTCATGGTTGTGGTGAACATAGTGGGGGGTTTGTGCTGGAAGATTGTTCTAAGTGTAAATCAAACTTTAGCCACTACTACTGCATGAAGCCACTTAACAGGGACAGGGGTACTGTGGACTTGATATGCAAACAATGTGAAGAAGAATTGCTAGATGCATGTCCAGTGTTACCTAGGAGATCTGAACGGGTTATTTATCTTAACAGAAAGTTCTTCAATAAATACACAGTTGTGGGTATGCAGATGGGTTGGTTAAAAAGGATTTAGTTAAAATAGTTTATGCTTTTCTCAAAAAGTGTGGCTTTATGCTACCTGAAATGTATCAGAACATTGAATGTAATGAAATGCTATGAAAGCTTCGTTTAAATGCACTAAGAATGCATATTTTTGCTACATCATTACCCTCTGCTTTCATTTCTTTCATGCTATCTTTGAAAAAATACATTTTAATGAAGTGCAAAACACAGTAACTTAAAAATATGATTACGATGAACTTATATGTATGACATATATATATATATACCTATGGAATGCACATTTTTGGATGTGTTTGGCCAAATCAAAATGCATATGAGAGCTCAGAGATATAACCTGATATGAATGATATACAGGGTACTTATAGCAAATGCATTAAAAAATGAGGAGGCTTACTAAATCAACAATAATCAACCGTAAGAGGCTGGCAGGAGAGGTTTTTTATCAAGGTATTAGTGCAAACTTCAGATTTCTCATGGTTTACAAAACCATGAATGAATTATGTTCATAACACCAAAAACTTTTGGGAAAAACATTTGTGAACTCCTATTATCATATCAAGGTGGTGTAAGGTAGAATTGAAGATGGCTTCTTAGCGGGCTACCCGACCACGCAGTTCCAAAGGCCACTGATGTGGCTGGCAGGGTATCGGGTAACCCTATGGTCAATGCCACATCACCTACCAATTGACCCAGATAGACAATAGTTAACATCCATTTAGGTATGGCTGCAAACATTACTTCAGAAAAGATAAAGTTTTTATATACATACATACATGTATATCTGCTTTATGAAAAACTATTTTTAGAGATTAAGTGTCAAATTTATCAAAATATAGGATTTTTCATAGAAGAATAAGTATGGCAGTTTTGTTTTAAAAATAATTGTGATTTGAAAGCACTATTAATAAAATATTAAACGAGTATTGAAAGAAAGAACACATTTTAGTTATAAAACAAAGCAACATTAAAAGCAGCATTAAAACAGAGTATTTAAGATGTATGTAGCATAGTTTAAAAGTCAGATATAGTTTTTACCAATATTGATTAAAAATGATCCAAACTGTTACTGAATAGGTATTCAAATAGGCATATAGACGTCTAAATATATGAATGACACATAGGTATATCATTTGTAACAACAGACTAGAGATTTATCAAAAAATAGTTTAATAATAGTGTTTAAAATAGGTATGACAGCTTTGATTTGTTTCAAATCAGGACTACATGAAATATCAAAGATAATTAGAATAACTTGGGAATATATTAATTTGAGTATATTGTGTTTTAAAATAGGTGTGACAGCATGGTTTGAAAACCAGATTAAGTTTGAACCCATATTGTTAAAAAAAGATCAAAACTGTTACACAAATAAGTATTCAAATATGTATTTAGACATAGATTATATGTATGACCGTTTGGTGTATCAGTTCAAAAAACAGATTATTGATTATCCAAAATAGTTTAATCTTAGGGTTTTATAGAAGTGAGACAACTTTGATTTGTTTCAAATACAACTACATGACAGAAAACAATAATTAGAATATCTTAGGAATAAATCAATTTCGGTATTGAACATGGATGTCACATAGTTTAAAAATTAGAATTATTTTGAAACCATATTGTTTAAAAAAAGATTTAAACTGGAACACATATAGGTATTCTCATGGGTATATAGACCTTACAATATACGTATGACCCATAGGTATATCAATTGTAAAGACAGAGTGGTATTTATCAAAAATAGCTTCCTAATAGGGTTTTGTATAGTTGTGACAGGTTGGTTTTGTTTCAAATTAGTACTGCATGACATATTAAAAAAATAGAATAACTTCGGAATATTTTAGTTTAAGTATAAGAATCATGGTTACTAAGAAGAACATACAACTTTTAAGAAATCTCAGTATAA